ACGAGCCAGATTTACAAATTACTGACTTGCGAAAGCTACATAAAATACCCGGCGCATATTTAATAGTGGGTGATTCGATGAGGAGTTATCACAGACACGTCTACACAATCGGAAGATGTTACCGCCAGGCTAGGTTTAAACGGAAACCACATTCGCTCCTGGTATCTGTTAGCCGGACCGCGTAGGAACCCTGTATGGGCGTTCGGCGCTAATGTTTTCAACCGGTGTATGCAAAAAAGCTATACTCTGCGTCAGTCACTAGTCTTGTCACCAGTCCGTATTGTCAGGATGTCGCCAGAACGATCCGTCCGCATGCCGTGCGCGCATGCTGAGGTTGCCTCAGCTCACGGCAGGAGTGGCTGTTTACTCAACCAGTCAGATGAGTCAGAGGCCCAACCGACAGGATAACCGATAAAGGACACTATCTGATTGGTCGGATTCCAGTCCAACCTTGGACATTGTCGTACGTTCGTTTTGTTTCGCCTTTTATACGGTATTCCGCCCGCGCAAGGCACGCGAAGAACGGCGCCTGCACGCCGGACTCGGACAGGTTATGAATGCGCGAAGGGTAGGAGGGAAGGCAGGATGGAGAACCTGACTCTTCAACACAAACCAAGAAACACCACTATGTGCCTACATTCGTGGACTGGAAGTCTGCCAAATGGCTCGAAAAGTTAACTGGGAGGTCAGGCTGCAATGGCTCCTGCCTACTGCGATCTTTACCGAAACCACCAAATTAAGTCTGACGCAAATTGTTATTTTTTTCTTGCCTTCACGTCTATCCCCAACTCGGGTCACTTTGACCGTGTCAATTTATCACAACATGGTGATATCAGTAAGAGTGAAGTGGAGGTAGGGGAAGGTTAATGCTATGAAAGTCAGCTTAAAAATACGAAATTTCACGCGTTAGCCATGACCCTATCCATTTACAAACATTCAACGCCTTATATGGACATCAAACTGTAGGAGCAACTTAGAAACACGCAAGACATTTCCGGTGAGAAAACGCTTCCAGAAGGAAGGTTGATTAGACACTAGTGAATAATTTCTGGTCTCAAAGGGAAAGAAGGCTTACCCTTTAAAAATCTGGGGAGTAATCACATCGATTGGGCAGTGAGGGGGCTCCAGGTATCGCAGTTCCTTCAGCTCAGCCTCCCGCTCCGCATTTGACAGTCGACAATGCCTAGGCACGTAGGCTTCATCCACCGAGGAACCATTTTTAAAATGATTGGCGTTCATACCGGAGGCGTCAAGGTGGTTTGTGCTCCAGGGATTGGTGGAAAACATGCCCACACCCAAACCCTCTTCAGCAGCTACCTTCGACCTCAGAGTTCGAGCTGCTTCCTGTCAGCAAAAATAAACAGTCTACTGATTTTGGAAAAGTAGCATGTGCAGTTAAAGTGCTAAATTTACGCTTGCAGAGGGGCTAGTGCACCTTAAACATGAGGAGGACGCGACACTGTTCTGTCTCCACACGATTTAACCAACCAGTCCAGTGGTAGAGAAGAAACTGGGCCTCCTGGTAACGATGCTCCGCGTGGGCTTGGGCAGCCACGAGTTCCTGTTGGGAAAGTCGCTTCGCAGAACCCACAATGTGCAGGTTAACAAATCGCGCATGCAAGTGGACGTCCATCATCTGCCAAGGAGGAAAAACGTACAGTGTGGTTGGGAATTCATGCAAAAGTCATGATCGCAATTGAACTTGGTAGTTCAGCCTATATGTGGTCACGTTAGTTTGATCCGATGAGAGAATTTAATCTTGAGAAGGTCAGTTAGTGAGGAAAACTACCTGTTTGGTTCAGTATATTTAAGGCTAATAGGCAGAATTTGGGCGAAATCGAAGATAGTCTCATATCGAACAATTTCCCTATGCTATTTATTAAGACAGAACCAAACCTTTTATTCTTGTGCGTTGTCATATGGCAGAACCCCAACAGCAGCAAGAAAAACTTAAGATAAATCTTTTCCAGAACCGGCAAATCAAGCCCTAAGTTGATGTAAATCAGGTGAAGCCAAGTTTAGGGAAGTGCATTGGTTTTCAGAAAAATAGAAGGATTTCAGTTTTAAAAATTATTTCTTGTTGATGTCTGACGTTTTTTGCCACAAAACGCAATAAAAAAGTTTTGATCATATTTTGTTTTACGACTTGGGACGGTAACCAAAATGCACATATACTACCATTTAAATGAGGGAAAATAGCAACCGTATAAAATCTGACGCAAGTGAAAAGAGACTTTTTTGTACAACATAATTTCCACCTAAGTGTAATTTCAAAACGGAACAGACAGAAGATTAACAGTTTTAGCAAAATCTTAGTATGGGTTCAGCCACTCTTTTTTTGCATTCGCAAGCTTGAAACGGGGCCTCAAAGAAAACAATTACGGCGAAAATACTCAGATATAGAAGGAAAAGCGTGTTTCCTTCCTCATTTCCAGCCAAAACTACATCATTTATTTTCAGGTAAATAAAACAAAACTGGCCGAATTTCTCCATTTTCACTTTGACATTACCTTGGAAAATGGTACCATGCTGAAGTTACTTTTTAAAGAGGAGACCTAGTACAGAAAGTTTTGTTAAATTAATCATAGGCATAACACTATCAGACTTCAGTTATGGACGTTTTTTGCTCGACAGTATGTGTTGGTAATTTGTGTTTTGGTGTCCCGGGCCCACTGTGTGGAATACGCCAATTCCCACGATCACTCATCTTACAGAAAGCCCCTCGACTGCAACTCCACGCCGCTGTCATGACAGCGCGTGCCGTGGCTATCGATTTTTCGTCATAGCTGTTTGGTCTCCTGCCCCTGACGCGTGCTCATGGAGCGGACTGAATAAATACCCCGCAGCCTTTTTGTAAGAGGGACTTGCAGTGGCTTGCTTGACTTACTTCGTTAATACACTTCTCCTGGCCCCTTGACTTCTCTTGTTCTCTCGTGCGGGCGTTCGAGAGAACAGTCGAGCTAGCTCAGCGCTCGCGCTAATAGCAAGTACAGTAGTCGCCGGTTATTAAGCCCACGGTTAATAGGCCCAGCCGCG